TCAGAGGCCAGATGTAATTTGGATTAAGGAAGAGAAGAAATAGTGAGCTGTGTTTGCATGCTGCAAATGAATGCAGTAATGCTGCTTTATGTCTTAATAGGAAAAGTGGCACCCTGATTTAGAAGAACACTTAAGAGTGTGCTTCTCTTTAGGGGGCGACAGTCATATAAGGCCTATTGACTTGAATGGGTTCAGTCTGTACACATTCCAGAGGTAGTTTTGTATGTATTTATTTCTGCGGAATCAAAATGAATGGTGGGAATATTAAGTACTGTGAAATTACAGACACAGAGGCATTTCTCCAAACCAGTGGGAAACCTTTTCCCCTGGCATGCTGTGTTTGCCTTTGGGAGCAGTAAGTCAGGTGTTTTGCTAGGCAGACCAAATCCTGCACAGTGCTTGTAAAAATAATTATCTCTACATTTTCAGCTTTTTGTTTTGCAGCACTTAAATATGCACTTAAATTTCACTCTGAAAATTCTGAGCCAGAAAAACATTTATTTGGGAAAAATGCATATAATGCCTAAGTTTTCTTTTAAATGTGCACCTACTACCATCGTGTTTCCAAATGTAACAAAGCTCAACAAGTCTCTGGCAGCCAAGGGGACTGGTAATTTAAAGGCTATTTCAGCATTTTGATTAAGCATACAGTGATAACTGCAAGCCCATGCCCTGCAGGCATGACAAGAGGCAATTATGTTCTGAGGTCAAAAGCAAGAGTGAAAGAAGCACAAGATTTTGATGAATTAATTCTCAAGCTCATGAAATTAGTAAAGACAAAGAAGTTCTAAATTGCCCAGATAAAATCCTGTGGCTCTCTGTGGCTGTTTCTTCTTCTGATCTGACTTTACCTTTTGTAAGCACTGGAGTGGAGTTTTCCAGTGAATGGCCACGCTTGCAAAGATTGAGTTGGCATATGTTTAAATGTTAAAAAGAGTGTTTTTCAAAATTTTTAGGTTCAGCTGTCCTTATTTAGACATATATCTGCACATAGGATACTGCAGAAAGGCACCTGCTTTCCAAAGTAGTGGGCAGCCGTCAGCTCTTCTTGATTTCCAGCCAACAATTAGGTCACTTATTTAGGAGATTAAATAAGGAGCTCAGTGAGAGACTGCAAAGATAGGGAGCTGCTCAAAGGAGAGAGAAGTGTATTAATGAACTAATACAATTGTGCTGTGTATTTCACAGATGGGCTTTTCTCTATCTTATTTCTTAGCAAGAAGCAAAAAATAATAATAATTTACTCCTCACAGGAAAACCAGTAAAAATGATAAAGTGAGATTATTGTATAGGGGTACAGTGTCGAAATGTGTTCATGAAGGAGATAAACAGCCAACCTCTGATGTCTTTTGGGAGTGTTTATTGCAGGTATTAGGATAGGAAAAAGCCATGTAGAGCAGCTCAACTGATGGAGGGTGGCAGGATGGAAAACACACGCCATTGCTTTCTCCTATTATAATGTTTTATACTGTTCAGTTATTTCTAATTTTTGATCCAAACAGTTTGTCCAGGGTGTCACACTTATTTTATGCCATAGGTCCAAGAAATAACTGTTGACTCCATGATACCACAGTGAAGTGTCTGTAAGTGAAAGCTGTCCTTCTGATGGCAAGTGACTGAATGACTGTGAGAACCAAAAGGGTGAATTCTAGTACAGAGTGAATCACATCCAGAAATGTTTTCATCAGTTCAGGCGTTCTATAATGGGAAATAGAATGCATGAGGGTTTTTTTTGTTTTATTTTGTTTTTGTCACAAGGCCAAGTTGATGGGGCGCTGGGCAGCCTGGTCTGGTATTAAATGTGGAGATTCGTGGCTCTGCCTGTGGCAAGGGGATTGGAGATTCATGATCCTTGAGGTCCCTCCCAACCTGGGCCATTCTGTGATTCTGTGAGATACTTCACTTGGGATTGTTATTCGTGCTTTTTCAGTAGATCAATGCCATAAAGTCTCAAGTACGTATAGAATATGCAAAATGTCCTCTCACATCTCGCGCAGAAACTTATGTAACAGCATTTATTAACCTCTGTATTTTCATATCCTCCACTGGAAGCCTGAAGTACTGCATCTTCATTATTGATAGACTTGCTGTGTGATTAGGATGTTGTCTTCATTCTCAGATAAACTTCTATTTTAATAAAACCATATTTCTAGTTGCAGCTTGTAATGTCCTATTTCCACGAAACATGAGAATTAAGATTAGCTGTGTATTTACAGGATTTCTGTTGACAAATACACCAGGTTTGGACAAGTTAATTCCCAGACAGTTAATTTCTGTGACTTTTAAGTGGGGTTTTCCTCAGACATCATGTTCAGTGTTTACCTGCCTTGATAATATAGAACAGTTATAGAAAAAATGCATAGGAATTCGCAGCAAAAATGTATTTTCTGAAGCATATGGGTCAGAGGTTTGAGTTTTGTTTTGTATAGCAACAACTGCAAAAGTAAAAACATTTTTAGCATCTATCTTTGCAGTTACTGTAGTCTGTAGACACATCCACAATCCAAACATTGAAGCAAGCGGCTGTTTTCCAACCTTTTCTTTTGCATAAAGTATAAATGACAGTTGTTCTACTGGAGAAAAGTATCCAAATTACCCAAGAAACTGACCAGAGCATAGCCCCAGACAGCTAATCTTGACTGTATAGACCTCATTTTGCCATTTTTTTGGCAATTGATGAGAGTCATCTAAGCACATGGCAGTAGGAGGGAGTGCACTTGGCTTCAGCATTCTGCCAAAAACTGCTAGAAACCACCTGTCTCCTATACTGCCAATCTGCCAGGTTTAGTACAGAAGACTCTCAAAAAATGAGCTCTCTGCAGCCCTTTCCAAAACCAACATCACATCTGAAATTTTCTGGTCAGCGATGGGCCTGTGAACACTGAAGCTAATAGAGGAAAATAAAACTTTTCCCCACTGCCATCAAGCCCAATGTTTCACATAGCAGGGGGCTGCTAAAGGTTTTTACAAACAGATCCTTTCCAGCAGACCTGAAACTTCATTGTGTTATTTGAATGTCTGACTAAAATTCCTGGGCTTTGCCAACTCTGACTTTTTGTTGGGCTTTTTTCTTTGTTCAAATCTTGTCTATACCTCCATGTCCTATTCTTTTTCTGAGCATCTCATAGCTATTTGGGAACATAAGGGCAAAGATGAGGTATTGCATCCTGAGGGCTTGTGCTTGTTCTCTTGCCCTCTTTCTGAAACAAGAGAGTCTGGTTGCATGAAGAGTTTACTGCGTTGAACAGATGTATGGTGCAATAGGAGACTAGGGCAAAACTGTTAGTCTAATCGCAGGGAAGAAGCAGATCTTACATGATACAAACCCTAAAGCTATGGTAATTGGAGAAGCTATTATTGAAGAATAAATGCATGTCTGTCTCAGGAGTTTGGCAGTTAGTCCACAACCCTAGCACATCACTGGGTTATGCCTGCAAATTTACAGAAATGGAAATGTTTCTCTGTCCTGTAATGCGTATCTAAATGAGACGATTGACAATAATAGAATGCTGTACAGAAGTTAATGTGATGTGTTGGACTGCTGCCTGCAGACAGACAGACAGAGGCAGCCTTGATGCTGCTAAGGGGTATACAGAGGAACATCAGTGTGCGCTTTTTCCATGAGGAAGTGTGGAGTGTGTGCACCATGTGGAAGTTTGATGGAAAAAGACAGCTGTGCATGGGAAGGATTTTTTCCTTTGGGAGTGTGTTGTGGAGTTTTTGTAATAGGGTTGAGGTGCAGTTGAGTTGTTTGAGGAAGTTTAGTGTTGGATGGCACCTGGGTCTGTTATAGTCAGGGTTATGCCTTCCTCTTGACTGTTCTATGGCCATTAAATACAGGCTTATATGTGATGCAGAGTTTTGTGATTGGAAGAAGCATAGTACAGGATCAAGCCAAAATAGCATATTGTCCATACAGCTGGAAACCTTTGTGGGTTTTTTATCCTCAAGGAATTAGGAAGCATAGTTGGCTTTTGTTTCTGTTTGTGGCCAATACACTAGGCTGGAAAACAAATAGTTGGCTCCTAGTGTCACTGTGGGTTTCCTGTGAGATCTTCTGAAGCCACATAACCCTTCTATGGCTCAAACAAGAGCAACAACATGTAGCTACTCCACAATAGGTATTTGGTGGGTTCTTGTATTCATGTTAGGATGTTGGTGATCTTCAGATCAAAGAGACTGCGGAGATGGGAAGTGTTATTTCTTCTTGTCATGCGAGTTTGCTTGCTAATTCTTTGGGCTTTGTTTTCAAGGTACCTCAAAGCATATTTCTTCTCTAATTAGCAACCTGTAGCCAACATTTCTTTTAAAACAAGTAAGATTTCTGAAGGCTGTTTGAATGAACTTCACAAGTGTGTGGCAGTCTCAAACGTTCAGACAGATCCAAAGCAAAGCCGAGACTGAAACTTTAATCACTGAGTTTCACACGTACTGGCATTTCCATGAAAAATATCACTTCAGGGCCCAAACTTCAGGATGGTTGCCAGAACACACAGGCCCACCACTAGCACACTGCAGACTGTGGTGAAAGGCATTAGGCATGTGTTTCCTAAGGACTAGGGGCAATGCAGATGTCATTACATGCGGTCACACTGTGCAGGTGGGATCCCGGTGCTTGGATGCCTCACTGGTGGAAAGTTTCTCCTGGCTGATCAGCTACAATACAGGGCTATAATTTTATAGATCATAGTCACCTAGCTTTTCACATGAAGAGCAGAAGTAATAACACTGTAGTTGCTATTTACCTCTATCGATAGGGGATTTCTACAGCCCTTTACAAAAGGGATCATTTGCTGTTTTAGTGATGGGAAAATCAAGCAGCTGAGTAGAGAAGCAGTTTCTCCAGGCTTTTTTTTAGCAGGCCCTATCTGAAGGATACTGAAGTAGATCTCAGTATGTGGCACATGGATAAAAACTGCTGCTAAAATCATTCTGCTTTTAATCCTCGTCTCATTGTGGAATAGTAAATATTTACTATGTTTCTGTGTTAATCCTTGCAGCTTTCAGCCGTGCCCCGGTCCCCATGGCTGTGGTCCGAAGGGAACTGTCCTGTGAGAGTTACCCCATAGAGCTTCGCTGCCCGGGAACAGATGTTATCATGATTGAAAGTGCCAACTATGGGAGGACTGATGATAAAATCTGTGACTCTGATCCTGCTCAGATGGAGAATATCCGCTGTTATCTGCCAGATGCCTATAAGATTATGACTCAAAGGTATAGTATTTAATATTCTTTGTTTGCTAGCTGTAGTTTGTTGTTGTTGTTTGTTTTTTTTTTAATCTGGTATGTACGCATCAGTTTGTTTGTATTCTGCATGAGAAAATGTAGGTACTTAGTCTCTATGTATGTGCACGGAATTACAGCTGTCATTGATAAACTGTGATTTACCAGAGTGGGCTAGGATCACACAATATAAATAACATTTGCAATAAGTTCTGCTAATCAGCTATCTTGATACCCGCTGAGTCTCAGTTTTACCTCTGAAATACCTAAATATCACTGTTCTTTATGTGAATATATAAATGAAGCCTTTCTCAAAATGCACTTTCTTTGATGCTCTGCTTATACAGAAAACCAGTAATCTCCCTTTAATGATAAATATTGTGTTTTCGCAATAACATTTTTATTTTTCAAAGTACAAAGAAAAGTTTCTATCATTCTTCACGTTGCCATGCTTAGTGTTGGACAGGATCTTAATTCGTAGTCAGGTACTCATCCAGGATTGTTGCTTTTGCAGATGACTTGCTAACTTTCTGTACAGTTACCGTTGCTGTTAAGTGCTAACACTGCATATGGAAATGGCAGCTGAGGTGCATTGCACGTGGGCAGGTTCATTCACGTGGGCAGAGCCAGGGCCGAACAGATTATTCCAACCGATAGGAATCCTTGTTCTGGAACGACTTTAACTGTTGCTGAATTTTTCCAGATATTTTTTGGCATAAGAATTGATGTGGGAAGGATTTGTAAGTCACAGCTCTTGACATTTAATCACATTCAGTATGTTTCTCTTAATATAACTATACATGAATAATTACTTGGTACGTTTTACTATTAATTAAATAGTAATATAAAGGAGTGTTTTAGGATATTAATAATAGTATCTACATAGGCAAAACATTGCTATTTGAAGACATGGCAACAGTATTTGCATGGTGACCTAATGGCTAAAGCTGTATAGGATTTTAATGGAGTATGTTGCTATTGTTTGCTGTAAGACTCTTTGCCCTAAAAATGGAGTAGTGTAAGCAGCAGAAAAGAAAGTGTAGATTTCATTTGTATTTGACATGCTAATGGATATTTTTGAGGTCCCTTCAGAATTGTTCCATGTCAAAAGTTTAGATTCTGAGTTGCTGAAAAAGGCTTGTATAAGCTCGCTCCCCTTGGCACTTCTATAACTCGGACCTGCCTGCCTAGCTGCTTGAAGTCATTTTTGTGGGGTTATGCTGGTTGCTTTTTCAAAATAAGTGTGAGGGTAACAACGTGACATCATCCAGTCCCTTGGATTCAGCATGGTTTTAGTGGAATTACTGTAATTCTCCTGTTCGAGTTTTAAGTGGCTTCAAGCAGAAACCCTTAATCCTCTCCACATCGGCAGAATAAAACCATGTCATCCCCTTTGTGGGCCATTACAATGTATTAATATTTTTTTATATATGTGGTAGCATCCTCCAGACGCTACCTTCGTAGCCATCTGCAGAGCTCTGCAATCTCCTGGTCAGTTCCCAGGTGTAGCAAGACTGCAATAAACATTAGCCTCTTGGTCAGAGAGGGCACGTAATCATGCTGTGTGATGAAAATTCACGTTGGTTACTCAGCTTCTCATGCTGTCACTGCAGGCTTGAACTGCTTTGCAGAGAGTTAGCAGGGAAGCACTTCTCTAGGGCAAAGCATCTCTTTTCCCATCTGAGCAGAGAGGGATTACTATGGAGGATGGTCACTAAGGGGGAGGTTTCTTGTCAGGGAAATGGGAATCCCTACTGACTGAATATTAAAATCCATGCTTGATTCTGTGTGTCAGTGAGGAGCCTCAGGAAAGGGTGATAGCTCTTTTTGCTTAAGCTATTTGATGATCAATTTTCATGAAGTGTGCAATCATGTTATTAATTTGGGTACTTCTGAGTTTCTTGAAAGTAAATATGACCTGATTCTGGTTAAAAGGCAGGTTAAGAAGGGAGAAAATACTCCACTTTGCATTCTTATGCCATTTCTCCTTTCTCTTTTAATCTCCCTCAATTCAAAGAGTTGAATAAAAATTAAAAATAAAACTATTAAAATGAAATGCTTTCTTAAGATGCAAACCAGCCAACCAGCCTGCCGGTTCACAGCTCAGATGCCGCCTTATAGCTGAGCATCTGAAAACAGCAGCTTAAAAGGAAAATCCTGACAGCGGAGGCATTGTGGCACTAACGATGGCATTTTCTTCTGAAAGCCTCTACCTGCACAATTAATCAGTTCAGCAGTATTTGGGCAGTTTTGCAGATGAATGCAGGTTTTACTACAATAAGCTTGTCTCTTTGCTAGTGCCATGGAGTGGTGGAAGCAGCTGCTCGTGGCAGTGTAACCTGCATGGTAATCGGAGCTGTCTGCATATGGAAAGAAAGACTGTATGCACAGTGCTTGCTTATTATGCATTGATTAATTTTCACGTTCATAAATACAGTTCCCTTGTAGTCTTTGTAATAAGTTGTCTAACTGCTAGCAGTTTTTGATCAGCAATGCTGTACAGCCAACTTATATGCGTTATGGCATGGCTGCGGCGAGGGGGAGACTGAAAGGTGGGGAGAGAAGCATGTCAGAGAGACAGAGATGTTAGTATGTGAGCCAAGGCTGCGAGTGGGCAGATTTATGGCAGATATTAGTGACTTGCTCCCCCAAGGACCACCCCCTCCTCCCAAAATTGAGCTGGCATGCTCCTTTCTTCTGTATGTTTATTTAAATTAATTTTGCAGACGAGTACATGGGGTTATTTTGAAAGGGAAAGGCATAAATCTGATGGTGTGTTTGTGGAGCCCCCTGAATGGTTAGGACACAAGGAGTTTTCACTGCAAGTGTTGCCCTGAAAAATCTCTAAAATCTTCAGAGCACTGCTGTAAGTAAAGAAAGTTTAAACAGCTTGTTTTATAGGAAATTAAATCTTTGTGGCCTGTTTTGTTTTCAAACTTGCTGGCTCTTCCTTGCAGCATTAGAGCAGCAGCTGCCCATAAAAGCTCAGAAAGAGTGCTTTATGGATTGAAGATTTTTCTAATATAATTAGGGAGAAATGTACTTCATAGCACGTTTACTTTGGAGAAATGTCTTTTTGAGGGCTGCAACAAACAATTAAATTTTAACCCTACCCACTGTAAGCTGAACGTACTGTGCTGTGGGAGACTTCACCATGTCCGCCCTTGAGCAACTGTGCCACAAAATTAGCATATCATCCATTTAAGCAGCCTGAGTTCTCCTCAAACAATTGGGAAAAGCAAACTCCCATTCCCATGAGAATTGTCTTTGTGTTTATAAATGTTAACACTGCTATTTGCTCTGTTAAAAAACAAACAAACAACAACAAAACACACAAATGCTGTGTCTCTTTGTGCATGCTGGTGGTTTCACTGCAGTTGGTGGAGGTGATCATCTGCTAGCACACAAGTAGAAGGTATCAATTCAAGGCAAGGAATTTAAGCATTCATTTGCCTCCTTGATTCAGACGTATGCCAGCAGGTACTTCTTTTTAGGCACATGCTAGAGTGTTTTGCTGAACAAAGATCTGCCCGTGTACTTTCTGGGTTAAAGCTGATGGACCAAAGATGATGGACGGATCAGGCTTGCGTGTATGTTCTCAGAAGCACACACTGTTGATACCACCTTTGTTTGTAACTTTATAATTTGAAACACACCATTTTATTGAGCTTATTATCCTTTCCTGTAGGTTTTAGCCTTGAATGTTGAAATGAAGAAGAAAGTCTGAGTATACATGCAGACGTATATGCACACAAAACAACGGCAGTTTTTGCCTTAAAGACAAGATAAAGGCTTTCTTTTGCTTTCCAGTTACGAGGAGCAAAAGAATCCTTCTCTACCCTGGCAATTATCTGTTGGTCTTAAGTTGGAGGAAGGAGAGGAAAGAGGGAATAATGAGACAAAACCAGCAGGCGGAACGGAACAGCCAGGGGAGAAATGTTCACAGGTCTTAACATCTGTACTCAAAATCAAAGCAAAATTCCTTCTGACTTTTCAAAATTGTGAAGGTAGAAAATATGGAAAGCTCTTGCTGGGAAGCTCTCTTGTATCTCTCGGAAACTCAGAGAGTTCTGCTTGCAAAGGGGATTGCTTGCCCAAGTCTTTGCCCATTTTGCACAGATTCTGCCTTTTGTCCAAGCAGAGTGCTGCTGCAGAACTCTTCCATGCCAATGCTGGCACTTCATGCTTAAAGATCCTGACTGAAAACTGTTTGTCTCCTCTCCCCTCTTCTCTCCTGAAGGAAGCACTGGGCTCATTTTGCCTTCCACCAGTGTACTTTGATGTGGAACAGGATCTTGGGATTGCATTTTGTTCATTTCCTCTGGTGGCTGAGCAGAAGAGAGAATTTCTTGTAGCTGGGCATGCTGTTGGGTACTCGAACTAGTTTCTTTTAGGTTCAGGTCTGATCTGCGTGGTTGGTCCCTGGGGTTTTGGTGTTGGCATCGTTGAAGAAGCCTGTAAGTCAAGACCTTAAAAAAAAATAATAATAATAATCAGTTATATTAAGAACATAAGAGTGTTGTTAGGCTCTATCCAATGGCCTGATTCCTGTATGTAATCTTGTATGTAAGGAGGGACATGTATAATTTCCCTGATAGCTGGAAGAATGCTGGCAGGCCTTTTGTACAGGGTGGAGCAGAGAAAGGAAACTGTATGAAACAGCTTGTATCACATTGCAAAGATTTTTCATCCTTAAGGGCTGTGTTTTGTTAATGTTTTTGGTTGATGACCTGAAAAATGCAGGAGTCTGAAATGAGTGTCATTATTATTGTAATAATATTGCATCTCCTAGCATGCTGTTATTGATGCTATCAGCACCTGTGATTTCCAAGACATCTCAAATGCTAGTGAGATTTGCTCTTGTGTCAGGAAATAAAGAGGCTGGGTTACCTGTATTTTACAGATAGGGTAATTCACGTTAATCATTCTTAAAGTGTCTGCCGGTTTTGATCATACCAATTTGGGGTTGTTCTCCTGGAATCTTTTATGTA